TGCACCCTGCAAAGAAAGCTTCAAATTGGCAGGAAATTCTTCCTTGCACCGGGGTTCTCCTCTGCAGCAGAAAACTCCACCGTGCAAGGAAGCTGCAATTTAGCGGGGACAATTTAGCAGTGCCGAAGCACACAAAAACAAAAATCACACCCTTTGGGTTGTGACAGTGGGTATCAGGTGGGGGGGGTGGTAATCCCTGCTGCACTGTGCTGCACAGGGCGGGGGTTGCCATGAGCTTTCAGAGGCCTTGATCCCTGCTGCTGCATCTGGTGAGTGTGGGGCTTTTTATTTCTTTATATAAGTGCTGGGAGGCTGGGGCCAGGTGGGGGATGGGGCTGGGCAAGGCAGCCATGGGGGGTTCTCCCATGGCTCCCCCCCCCTGGGGAAAAGCAGGCACAGCCAGAGCAGCTGCGGGAGAACCTGCAGCAGCCTGGCTGTGCTTGCTTCTCCCCAGCCGATCCGAATCTCTCCCTAATTTTTTCCAAATCGATTCGGAGCCTTCAGATTTGATTCGGACCTTTTAAACAGGCCGAATCTCCTCCAAATCAAATTGGCAACCGAATCTTTGCACAGCCCTAACATTCGCATTTGATATACGAAATGTAGCCACATGCCTGCAGTGGCTCAGGCCAGAAGCCCGGGGGCACTACAGCATGGATCTCTGGCTGTGTTTACTTTGTCTTCCTGCTGCCCCTGAGTTCTCTGGGATTTGTAGTCCAGAATTACAGCAGTAGGACTCTGCAGGGTTGCTCATCACTTCTTCTTCCTGCTTCTAGGTGACTCTGGGATTTGTAGTCAACAGTTGCAGGCAGCAGTAAGTTTGAGTGGGGGAAGGGGTGTTTAACCCCCCACCCTAGCTGGGGTTTGCCTGGGGGGCAGTCCCTACCCCCTACAGACTGGGCTGCATCCCCAGCCAGGTTCCCCCCTCTCCCTCAACCTCTTGTCAAACAGTCCTCACTGCTCCAACTAGGGAGCAGAGGGGCAGGGCCAGCCCTGCTGTCTGGAGCAGACAGCACAGCCCATCCCAGGGCCGGAAAGCAAGCTGGGATGCTGGGGGACTCTGATTTAACTTGAACCAGGAAGGGGTCTGGGACAGAAGTTTCATAAAGCAGTTTAATGCAATTAGTTAAGTCTGATACTCCATTCAGACAGGTTTATCTTAAACTAGCTTCAGCCATTTTGAAACTGGTTTAGGTGCACTGAGCTTCTGTTCTGTTACAGATTTAAACCAGTTTCTGGTCTCTTAAACTGGTATATGTCTAATTTCTGTCCCTAGCTCTTTATCTTAAAAGCAAAAGACACAAATTAGAGGCACTGCACAGAAGTATGTGCCCGGCACTAATACATAATATAATGTAACATATAAGCATGCCCTTGGCATGGCACATTTTCTTTGTCAGACTGATGCTGACAGAGTAGAATGACTCACAAATGTAAGCCAAGACACTAAAATCTGGAAAGGACAAATTTGCTGCTTTCCTGCCCCAGCAGTCCTGGCACTCTGTTTTCCCTCGCAGATTTCATCTTCTCATTTGTTTGTACTGGCCACAAAAAAAAAATCGAACTCATGTGCAAAGCACTTGAGTGTAGTCTCTATGGCTTCCATGGAGTTTACATTAATTTCTGCAAATACTAAACCAAGCAGAAATGCCACCTATATCATGTCATTGCATTGGACATGATATGTATATTAAGTTCCTACATCTCTCTGATTTTCTTTAAATCTCTTGTGATACTTTGTTTAGACAAATAAAAATGTGAACAGCACAGATACTTCATATACTTACCCACCTTAGGCAGAATCACACAAACTTCTCTAAATAAAATTGGATGCTGGCTTTTGATAGTAATTAATTAAGCAATATTTAAAGGATTCTTTTTTACTTTTATAAATACAGCAAAAATAACTTATTACAACCAAAATATTTGTTTTTATAGATACTATATCAGTAATGAGAATGGTGGAAAACCAGGAGGAAGAAACCTTTATAAGTAAGATGTTTTCTCATTTGCCCTGTTTGTTGAAAAATCTTTTAGAAAAATTAGGAAAAATAAACTCTGGGTTTCAGCAAAACAATTCCAAATGATGGAAAATGCTCATTTGAATATCAGTGTTTAAGATTTTTGAATGACTTAAATTCCTTTGTTGTGTTAACTTTAAAGTCTAGGGTCTGATTTTGTTTCAGTTGAGATCAGTAGGACTTTTGCTGTGGACTCTAATGGGAACAGGACTGTGCTTTTATTATGCTATATGCAATGGCACATTTGACAGAAAAAACACATAATGTAACATGCATTGTTACTAGGGTTTGCTGTTTTTTTTAGGAATGCATGTTTTGTCCTGAGATAGTGTCTCCTCTGTATAACAGACAAATTTAATTTGGCTTTACTTAATCATAGGTTAATGATAGTGACTGAACAAACATTTTCAGAAATGTGTCTTGTCTTTGAAATGCAACTTTCTGTCACTTTGCAGAATGGAATTTGGCAAAGGTCAGATTAATGCTAAGTGCATTAGCTGTGATCTAGACCAAGAAAGATGTCAGTATTACAGCACATCCTTCAGCCAAAATGTACAATATTATCTGCTAAACTGTTATGGTGAGTATGGCCCAAACTAATCAACATAACTGTGACTTATTACTTAATGCAGAAGAAAAACAAATCAGCCAGTGAAAGCCTTGGGTACAAGCTAGAATATGTCTTGATTTCTTTGGACTTACACAATAGTAATAAAAAGGGATTCCTTTTCCACTGCTCCAAATGACCCTGATGAAAATACAAGTATAAAATAATATTAAATGGTAGCTTATGCCTATAGTCAGCAGAACTCATCCAATAGCAAAACACAAAACTCTCCTTTCCTGTACAGTCCTAAGCCTCAGGATGTCCCATCCTCTAAAGCAGCCTTTGAAAATAGATATTTCTGGCAAAATGTTCAGAACAGCAATAGATCCTGGCGGTTTCAGATAAGGGTGAATGTAATGCACCAGAGCTGAAGGCTCCTGAATAATGCTTTGCTGCCAGTTCACTCCTCACTGATCAAGTTGATCCTGAACATTGTGCTACCAAGCATCAGGGAGGTGACACTCATACTTCTGAAAAGGAGAGCATGAAGTGTAAGTTCTTTGATTCAAGGAGGACCTCTGGTAGAATTTCCATAGGGAGTTTGGACATTGTTCTTAGACTAAATACAGACAGAGAATTGATTCAATCTTCACAGGTTAGTCTGAGCTGCATAGATTGAACTGATAAGCAAGTGAACAGACAATCGCTTTTGATTCCAGAAATGTAGTCACATGCCTGCAGTGGCCCAGGCTAGAAGCTGGGGGGCGCTAGAGCACATCTCCTGCTTAGCTGGAGCAGACAGCTTGGGCCAAAGCTAGCTCACCCACCCTGCAAGAGTGGGGAGGGAGGAGGGAATATGCGCATGGCAGATGCAAAGCATTCTGGGATGCTGGGGGACTATTAATTAACTTAAATCTGGAGGGGATCTGAGACAGATGTTCAGAAAACTGATTTAATTTAAATCACTCAAGTCTAATACTACATCCATCTTATCGTAAACTGGTTTTAGCTATTCTGAAAGCAGTTTATGTGCACTGAACTTCTGTTATATTACAGATTTTAACTGATTTCCAATCACAAACCAGTTTATGTGTAATTCCTGTCCCTAGCCATAAAGGGAAGCCTATGGAAATGTCTATATTGTAGAAGGACATTGGAGTTACTTTAGTTTGATATGCTTGTTTGGAGAAGGAAGTAATCAGAGAATAGGAACAAAATCAGGAAAGAGATCATGATCTTGCCACAAGGAGTTTAAGAAATATTTATATGTGCTTTGACCTATGGATTTACCTCCTGAGTCACTGGGACATAGATATGATAGTGCGTGGGGGAGTTAATCAGTTGAAGGAAAGTCTAAAAGACTCTTGCTTTTCCCTCTATGAACTGATAGGGTTTCTTTTTTTTTATGGTGATGAAATCTTAAATCAATGCCCTGGGGAGTCTGGGCCTCTCTGCATCCCACCCTCAAATATGGAAGACTGGATGCTCAGATTCTTGGTGGATTGTAAGGGGCAGGGGGGCTTTGGGAAGAGTCCTGATTCCACCCCCCCCCACCCCATGGACCTGAAAAAGTTTTGGATCCAAAGGTTCAGACACATTCCTGGGCTGAGCTTGAGCTATGAATCTTTCAAGTTGCTCATACCTACTTATTGCTTATTGTTATGGAAGCATATTTTAAAAGGCCTATAAACAAAACATGCATGTTCTTGTGCTGTCAACAGGTCCAGGCCTGCCCAAGTGTGCTCTTCACAGAAGTAGTGATGATCAAGGTATTGGAGTTTTTCTGTTTTCAGTTGCATTATGTGTACATGTTCCATGGATCAGGGGTAGTATTCCTTAGTCTTAGAGCTTTTAGAATATTTTACAGTGTATCATATAAAAACAAAAAACAAAAACACCAAACATACTGAATTATTTTTTTTAGTAAAATGAGAAATATTCACTGGAATGAAGTCCTTATAACTGTCATTTATTTATGTGTTAATCTCTGGATTAATTGTGAACAAAGATTTGAAAATCTTGGATTTTAGTCATACATTAAAACTGATTATTTAAATTTGACTTTCATTTGTATTTAAAAAAAACCTAAAGAGCTTCATTCTCACTGGTTGTTGTAACCCTTTAAACATACTGATTTGCAAATAAAAATAGCCTTTATGTTAATTTTGCTGCAAATTTTGCTAACCAGGCTACGCATTCTGTAACTTGACATCCATTAGAAATCTTATTTGTATACGATTTGATTGTCCTGGAAAATAGTGAATAATGTATTTCTTATTTGCTAGGTAACTTTTTCTTTTTTGTGTCAAGCTGTATTGGTATGAATATAGAAATTCAATTTAAAATAGAGAAAAACAGCATTTCAAAATAGTATTAGTCAAGTGAAACCTCATAAAAATATGTGAAAAATGTTTTTCAACATTTGTTTTGCATTTAAAAGTAAATCATTTATTATAAGGAGTCCCCTGTGGTTCAGTGGTAGAATCCTTGTCTACCACACAGGAGACCTGGGTTTGATTCCTGAACACTTATATAGTGACAGCCATGGAGGCACCAAACACCTGGTCTCAGGCTGGTCTTTGGATTCTGTCTCAGTGGCCTAAAGGGAGGATGGAAGGTCTGGGCAGCCTCCACTCACCCAAAAATTCCTGCCCAGGCATATGTATTGAAGGTCTGGGTGGCCCTCATCCATACACCATGATCCAGGAGGATCAACGGTTGCCACAAGTTTTATTATAGTAAATATATAACATTTAGTAAATTGACTATTTCTGGTTACCTTGGGCCAGATTTTCAGAGAGATTGATAAGTCCAGATGGGTACCTAGAAAAATTGCTAAACCAGGTTAGCTACCTCGTTCCCAGGGAAGACCTGCTTAGATGGTTTAAAAAAAAATATCAGAGCAACATATTGCTATGTTTATTTTAATTACTTCAACCAATTACAGAATGTTTAAGCCTTTATTCAGGTTGCTGTCATTTCATATTTAATTTGACATGGTTTTATTTTTAAAAGTACATTTATTTAAATTTTTTTATTTAAAAAGAATTTTTACTATTTAAAAAAAAAGTCTGTTTTGTCCACCCAGCCATCAGAAACTTGGAAAACAACACAGATTTGAATAATTCATTGAAGGACATTCAGATGCCTTCAAAGAAAGTTGAATCCATTAATTTGAATGGGAATGGTAAGTTTCTTTACCACTGTATCTTTACCACTGTATCTTCACCATGTGTCTTTACCAATTTATGCCTGAGTTTCTCCATATGTAAAATTGTGATAATGATACTAAGCTTCTTGGGAAAGTACTTTGAGATTTACTTGAAAAAATCAGTGTATAAAAGCTATCTTTAGCTAGCTGTCTTTAATTTGCTGTTCTTAGAAAAGATGTATTCCATGCTAAAAATACTGGGAAAAATAAGCTGAGATGGAAACTTGCTTAAATATGTAAAATAATTCCTTGCATTCCTGAAGGTCTGAAGCTATGCAATATAATAGAATAAAATGACAATACTATTGGGAGGCAGACAACTAAATCAGATTGAAGAGCACTGCCATACTGAGAAGCCGGCACAGTACCCATCGAGACTATTCCTGACTCCAACTTCTGCTGTCAGCCTTTTTCTTTTTTATGACAAAAATTTACTCTGTTCAGCAAATGAATATTCTTTAAGTAATCAAACTTTATAAATAGTATCCAATTCTCTGCTGCTGCTAACTGTTTTGATACCTCCCTCCTCCCACTCTTATCTCTTTTATATTATAACTTTCTTTATCTTTTTGTTTCTGTCTTTTATTTTCAGTAATATTTTTTATTAGAGCTAATGATGAGATCTTCCAGGGAAGACGGAGGTTTAAAGATGTTCTCCATGCTATCAGTTGTGTATTCATCTTTTTATTCCTCCTTCTTCTTACTACTTCATCTCTTCAGGGTAGAAGCTGTTGGTAAGGGGAATCTTATTTTAATGTAGTACTAGACAGAAAAAAATCAATTTATTTAAACTTACATCAGATCCAAATGTATTCCTATGACCACGTATCCCTATACGTATCAGTGAAGACACAGATGTGCATCTCCAGAGCACAGAGATACAAAATACCTTTTCAGTTGCATATTATCCAGTGTCTTAATCTGACTGTCACTTCAGCACACTTATATTTTAACGTCCTGCGTAGTTTGAAGTGTACAAAGCTCTGTAACGCTTGTACTCTAGCCTAGTATGAAGCACATTCCTACAATCATTCATACTCAACTTCCTACAACATCTATTCCTGTAAAATCCTCCCCTGCCCACCCCACTTAGTCTGTTGATAACATATAACTTCTGAGACAGTAGTCACAGGTCTGTGAACAGAGTTCATTGTTCCAAACTTACTGGGGAAATTCATTCAGCATTTACTCAGCATTTTCTCAGTCGCTGAGCCTAGAAAAGATATTCTTCGAGTTCATAATCATCTGGCCAGTACATCACTTTGCCAGGATTTCCATTTAATTTAGAATCTTAATCAATATTTTAGTGTGTGAAAACATGTTGAGAAATCTTTTTTTTTTTGGTACCTATGAGATTTTAAAAGGCCACAGACTACCTTGCAAGGCTTGAAAAATTTTGAGTTGAGGTTTTTTTAATTCAGTTAGCAAATCTCAATTAATATGTTACAGGCCATTTTTAATATGATTAAGCTTTATACAAATTAAAAAAAAATTAAGGAATGATGCAGATGTACTTTGCCGAACATAAGAACATACGTTCACATAGGTCATGCGTCAGTCAGTTCCTGGGGAAAGAGCCAAGTCACATGATTTTTTTTTTTTCTTTCTTTCTTTTTTATGTTTCAGTATTCTGGTATCAGATGATCTTACCTCCCCATTTTGATTCATCAAAGAAGTACCCTCTGCTCCTTGATGTGTAAGTCGTCTTCCAATACAGGTGGCAATGCTATGTTAATTGCTTTCATCTCCTTCAAAGGCTTCTAACAGCTTTAGAAGACACAAAATTGGCATAAATATTTTTCTAATTTATTTTTAAAAGCAGTTTTGAGAGAGAGCAGAATCAGTGCAAATCCCAGCTTTCCACAGACTGTCAAGGGTTTTTTCCTGTGGTGGACTGCCTATGCCAGGGACAGGCAAGGTCTGGCCCACAGGCTGGATCAGGCCCATGGTGGACTCCACTTCCCAGCAGCTCCTGCCTGTGTTGCTGTGGCCGGTTTCTGTGGAGACCCCAGGAGTGGCAGCACTGTGACAGTGTGAGGCCAGGCTTTCCGTGGGGACTGGCCCTGCCAGCACTGGCAGGATGCACAGATGGGCAGCGAGCTGCTCCAAGGCTGGGATCTTGCGGTGGTGACAGCATGGTCCAAAGCCAGGGTAGAGCTGCGATCCACTGCCCGCACACCTCGGGCATGGGCATGCAGGCAGTGGATCGCTGCTGTGTACCAGCTCTGGGCCACGCAGTCACCACTGCATAATCCCAGCCCCAGCTCCAGAGCAACACCCTACCCAGCCATGCTCCCTGCCAGCACCGCTGGGGCTGGTTCCCATGGAAACCCTGGCCCTGCACCGTCGTGGTGCCGCCCGCTCCTGGGGTCTCCATGGAAACTGGCCACAGCAACGTGGGCAGGGGCTTCTGGGAAATGGAGTCTGGCTGCTGGCCGGATCCACCATTTTGCCCACCCCTGGCCTAAGCACTTCCATTAGAACATGTGGTACAGATTAACAAGACTATTTTGTTGCTTATAGCAGGGATCAGCATCATCATACAGCCTGCAGGCCAGATCTGGCCCACAGAGCCACTGGATCTGTCTCGCAGAACCAAAAGGCTTTGCCTCTGCCCATGCCTGTGCTAGTGCTGGGCAGCAAAGAGCTGCACTGGGGGCTGGCAGCTGGAAGCTGTGCCCCCATTACCACTTCTTTCCCCACCCCCCGGTCCCTGCCTGCAGCATGGGCACAACTTCTACTAGGTAAGGAACTGAGCTGGGCCTGAGTAGCTTCCAGCAGCACCCACAACCAAGAAGCAGGGTAGGGGGAAAAGTGGCAGCAGTGTAGACAGAGGTTCCAGATGCCCGACCCTGGCTCAGTTCCCCACCAGCTGGAAGCTGTGCCCATGCTGCAGTTAGGGAGCAGGGGTCTAGCAGAAGCGGTGAGAAGCAGTTCCTCGGCACAGCCGTGGACAAAGCATCTCCTACCTGTCCCCTCCACCTGCCCCACTGTTGATGTGCTGATAAAGCTACCAGGCCTGCACCAGATTGAAGCTGGGTTATTCCAGCTGTGGCTTTTAAAGGCTGCCTAGAAGGTCTGAATATTATTTAATGAGTAGTTGCAATGTAATTACAGTCTTCAGAATGGACAATATAATGAGAAGTCTAGATAGTAACACCTGAGGGAGGTTTGTTTTAGAGGAGCTTTCGTATGCCAACATTATACAGCTGAAGAAAAGAGAAATCATTTCAGGGGTATCTTACTATATGGAAATATAATTCTCTTAAGACCTGATCCTGCATGATTTTGAAGTCTTCCTTTGAGGCCTCAAGCAACCTCAGTACATGCAAATCAGTAGGCATTGAGGGAACATAATTTATTCATCATCTTGGGATCCCTCTTAGGCCAGATCCAAAGCCCGCTGAAGTCAATAGACATCTTTCCACTGACTTCAGTATGTTTTGATTGGATCTATAATGCTTACTGAAGAAAACTAAATAGAAAACTGCCTGATATTTCCTAGTTCCAAACTCCAGAAAAGAAAAATGTTCTCGAACTATTTGTACATATTAGAGAAACGTTAGGTTTAGAAATCTTTATTTAAGGCAGTTATAGGCCTTGAGACCAGTGACCAGAGAGAGACAGATTAAAGTATTGTAATGGCATACAATAACCTCCATATTCAAAACCATAATCAGGCTAATGAAATGAATAGTATAAAAAGACACATTCACTGGACCATGAACATATACTCTTTGTTCCTTTTCTTTCTCAGTCTTCTGCTTATAGCAGTATAATAGTATGTTTGCCGTAATTTCTGTTTCTTTTAACTGAGTTATTGCAATTTGTTATTTATAGAAATACCTAATGAATTTCTCTGTTTGCTGGGAAATGGCTCTCAAAGACAAGTAAAACACATTAGTAGTTACACTGAACATAAAATATGAAAGTTGATTCCTCTTTTTTCTTATTTAATGAAATTTGGATCACTGGACTTATTATTTGCCACTTAAACTTTTCATGAGTAGTAAATGCTCTTTACTTGTTAGTATTCAAAACACAACCACCCCCCACCCCCACATGCTCTCATCAAGTAATCTGTGGCTTGGTGAGTAGCTCCTTTGCTTCGTACAATATGGTACTAATCATCGCACTCTGGAATGGAGGTGCATACCCTCCAGAAAGATCATACGAACATCATTGTCCAGATGACAGGTGAGCGTTGTCACTATTCCCTCAGCAATAACAGGGTCTTCAGCACATGGAAATAATGCTACACGTAGGGATCCTACAAGTTGGAATGTTTCCATATACACAGTTCACATTGGGTTCCGTGAATTTCTGATGTTTACATGACTCAGTTTTGAAAGTGATGTACTTACACACGAGTCATAATTGTAAGAATCCTGTTATTGTTTAGACTTCGATATGTGCGTCTTCCATTTTTAAAAAGTTGCTTCTCTTTCCCCCAAATATGGGAAATAAAATTGGATAGCTTTAAGGTCCAATCTTCCAGGTCTGTCTTAAGGGTCATCTTGCTTTATGAGCACATAAGATGGCACATGGCAAATTGTTTAGAAGCAGAATAGCCAGATTACACAAATATTACTTACTTAATCAAATTGGTGTGGCTTTATCTCCAGAATGCTCACATGCCTCTTAAGTATTTAAAAATAGAATATCCACTAACAGTGTTTCCCTCTTTCTTCCTTCCCAGCCTGGATGAAAAATAGCCTGATTACTTAATAGGTGTATCTTTAATTTCACTAATGAGTCACCAAAAGTGTGGAGAAAAGATAAGGATTTTTTAAATTTTCACAAGTAAAAGCTATTCGCTTTTGATTCAAAGTTTTTTTTTCAACTAGACACTTAATGAATACTAATTAGGTGGAGCAACAGAAATAGATTAGTTCAGTTAAACAATAGCATCTTTTTAAATTGCAGTGATAAAACATGCCAAAACAAAGAGGGATTTTGATTAGGATTCTTGGTATCCCACTCTATTTGATTTTAAGACTGTAATCCACAGGACAAAGCAATAGACTTCCTACATTAGGGCCAGTCTTGGAGTCCTTACTCATGAATATTTCCATGAAGATTGCAAGTCATATTACCCAGGAAAAGCAGAATTTAGTATAAGCAGTGGAAACTTTTCATACATTCCTGATGCTCAGTTTAGTCATAAAGTTTGCCTGTTTGTTATTTCCAGTGATTGTCAGCACTAAGAGCATTGTATAGGATTGATGAAAGAATTAGGGAATGGCAAGTGTTTGAATCCTTTGGGACTCTTTACATAGGTATGCCGGGCCCTGCAGTCAGAAAGTAGATGATGCCTTCCGAATCAACTGGGCTACATACCTGGCAAGCACAGAGCAGATCATCGTGGCTAGCTTTGATGGCAGAGGAAGTGGCTACCAAGGAGATAAAATCATGCATGCAATATATCGAAGACTGGGAACATATGAAATAGAGGATCAAATTGCAGCAGCCAGGTGAGCATACAGTAGACTGTCACTGATCACTATATAACCAGTTGGATGTCCAGCTGTTGACATTTTAAGTGCAATAAACTAGAACACTATTGTTTCTGCTCAGTAAACAACTCATAAATCTGGGAATAGAGAAAAGAGGATTTATCAAATGGTCGTACTGGAATTTGTACCAAAAGTTGTAGCTAAATACTAGTTAATTTCCATATGCTGAGCAGTTGTAATTCTACATGTTTAAAAACATAGAGTAAGTAACATCATGACAAACAGTAAGAGGAGAATGTGCTTCATTGGCAAAAACTTTATTATCCTGGTGGTTTTACAGAAAAGAAAGGATGATGTTGTCTGTAGCATAGGGCTCAGAGTTAGGAGAACCAACTTCTATTTCAAGCTTTTCTAAGCTTTCTTTGTAAGTCTGGGCTAGTCCTCTTATGGCCAAATGTTCAACATGGATCTTTTTTCTATAAACCCCTACCTATTTACTGATTCTTAACAGGACTGAAAACCAATGACTTATTGATATAGAGTACAAAAAGCAGAAAAACAAATCATTGACTTCAGTTCAGTAAGACTGATTTCTGTTTGTACATATTGAGCTACTTGGCACTTGCACTGGTGGTCATATTCAACATTCAGGCCCCTGACAGACGTTAAAGTAAAGACATGATAGGAACTGATGTAGGATTCCAACAATCATGCTTCCTGCCATGTTACACACGCATGGCAGGAGGTGTGACTGGTGTATTGGTGATTGTGGTGGTGAGGTGTATTGTAATTATACCAGTTTCCATCATACCATATTGCCGGTGCAGGGGGAGCCAGATACCATCTGTCAGGGGCCTCCTGGAACCCCATTGAAGTACATGAAGTCAGTGAGATTGCACCAGAATAACAGAGAGGTGAATTTCACTCCTGAAGAGGAATCTGAGTGAATGGAGACTTAAAACAACCCAGCTCTCCCCCCACCCCCCAAAACAAAACAAAACAAAACAAAACAAAAAACACCTAAAAAAACCCTCTTCATCCTCTCACTGGCCAGAGTTTCAAGAGTTTTACACTTTGGGCTGCAGCTTTCCATTTTGTGCTACACGATTGCTGTTGTCATTCTAACAATCACCTGGATGAATTCAAAACAATTTATGTAAAAGCCAGTGCATCTGGTGACAGAACTTTTAAGAAGCTGACAGGTTTTGTTTTCTTTTAATGACACAAAACACTCAGCAGGTTTTTTGAAAATCAGAGAAACGGTGAAGCATGCATTTTGTCTCAAACAATCATCATAATTGAGAGGTCCAGCCCTAACCTTACAAGCCAAAACCTACACATAAAATGGGTAATTGCATATGATCACTGTAATATACGTTGTAAACATCTGCGATCTATTGAGTTTGATTTTTATTTGTTTTTAGAAAATTTTCTGAAATGGGCTTTGTTGATAAAAACAGAATAGCTATTTGGGGTTGGGTGAGTATTCACGTTGCTTCTTTACATAGTTGTAAAGACTATTATGTCTTCTTTTGCTTACACGGTATACTTACACCGAACCACACAGGCTTGGTGGGGTTCAAATAAACAGTTACTAATTATATGCACATCTAGGGTTCTTGTGGCTGTGGGAATGGTAATAATGAGAACTAAGGAACCTAGAAAATATTTTTTAAGAATTCCTATACACTGTGTTTACAAAGATGAAACAGCTGTTATGTTTTCCTACAGTGTATAGTCATATGCATTGACTTGTATCTTGGAGGTTAGCAGGACTCTTTTGATAAGTGTATTAAAATATATTATGCTTTCTGAGTCCAAAAGGAATAGATCATTAAGATACCTAACTACCTGCATGCTCTTCTGTCATGTGCTATATTTAAGCATCTGTGTATCAGGCTACATTGTGAGTTTATCATGTGAAAACAGTAAGGAGCAGTGTCATTTTACATTGCCACGAAACAGACTGAAAAGGAGATTGTCACTCTTAGGCTAGGAACAGATGTTACATTTGTCCCTGGACAAGTTGTACCTGTGTTTGTCCCAGAATAGAACTATCCCAGGATTGGCATGTACACACATTACCCTTGTAATAATGAGAGGCTGAATGCCCTGTTGCTTTTCTGTTAGTGATTTAGTGGTGCAATCCCAAGGTAACTGTTCAGATGTACTTTGTGATGAACCTTTTTTAGGATTTATTCTGGGACAATGGACATGGATGTCTGAACAACTTGTACTTTGTCTTGGAATAAAATGGCTTATCCTGGGAAAAATGCAGCATTTGTTTTTAAACTTTGAGTCATAATCTTGTTGCTCTTGCTGCTTTAGGGGGTGAAGAGAGGGAGTAGGGGAGAGGTCAGATATGCAATGTGTCTGACTTATTCCTGACACACTATATAGCTATCTGGTAAAGCACATTGTAGGGTTAAGCCTTGACTTCATCCTTTTCCATCCAACTGTGAAGAGAGGGGACACTGTTTTTTGAAGTCCCTGGTACTGGCTCCACTGCAGTTTAGTTGCATGTTTGCAGCTCCCCGTTCCAGAGCCTGTTCCTCATACAGTGCTTTGCAATAGATCACAACAGTTAACCCCATATTTATTACCTACTTCACCTCATCCACCAGTGAAACAAGACTCACAATTATAAAGGAGATATTTAATATAAGAAAAGTGTAGAACCTCTGAAGAGATGATAAATAGTTTAGTAGATGGGTCATTTCCCTTCCTTTTCTTTAAAATAACTTAATTTTTTTCCCCTAGTCTTATGGGGGATACGTGACCTCCATGGTGCTAGGATCTGGTAGCGGAGTGTTCAAGTGTGGAATTGCTGTAGCCCCTGTGTCACGCTGGCAATTTTATGGTATGTGATAACTTCACAGTTACAAATCTTCCCATATGTCTTGTAGTACACGCACTGAAAAGTGTTGATTCATAGAGTAAAACCTTGATCAAATTCTGGATGATCGTAAATGGATGATGCCACTTAAATGCCAGTTGGTTTGTTTTTGCGAACCAATGTGGAATATTATGCTTCAGCATTACACAGACTCCCCCAATTCTGGTTCTCATTTGAAAAGTCAGATACTAAATTTAAGATAATTTGTTTAACCTTTAACAAACACAGAATCATGGTAATATTTACAGTATCACTATTATGTTAATGTCTGCATTTACATTCCCAATAAACTGTTTTATAAAGTATTCAGACCATTACTGTCACATTGTCCATTACTATTAGTCTTTGTTTCCTTAAAATATAATGTTGCTTACAAAGAAAGATTTAATCAAATTTTGTATAAAGTCACCCCCTGAAAACACAGACTTTGTTGTTGTTGTTCTTTTGCTATGTTTTGTTTTTCTTTTGGGGTTTTAAAATTCAGTTTTTGCAAATATAGGTAATTTTCTGAAGAAATACCTGCATGGGTAAAAAAAAAAAATAGTACAAACATATAATTTGCTAAAAAAAGTCCAGACAAAACCTGTGTTCCCATGCCATACTGGCACTTGAAAATGTGAAAAGACTATTAAAAGGTCTTCCTTATTACTTTAAAACAATATAAACAAAAAAATAAATTGTGGGAGCTTACTTCGCAGAAAAAGCCATGATAAGATGGTAGCCTAAAGCTGTGATGAGGGACTTACTTATGATTTAGACTCAGCCTGAATAAAGGGTTTTCTAGATAATTTACAAGGGAGACATTTAAAATATTTTTCTTTTTTTCTTTGCGCTAAAATGGGATGGGTTATTTTACAGAATATTAAACAAGACTAGACCAGCATTGTTGTTACTAAAATTACTGCCATTTTTTATCAGAATGCCCAACCCTGCATCAGGTATTTGGTACTATTGTCTAAAAGCTTTATAATTCAGAACCTTTGACATTTAATTTCTAAAGTGACAGCACATCTATCAAGTAACACAGAAGGAAAATCACAAACAAAACTACTAAAAACCTGAGAAATACAGTGTGACATACCACTGAATGCATGTTACATGTCTCTTTCCATTGAATGATTTAGAAAAATAATTGTTTTTGGTCACTTCAGGAAAGGTGTTCAATCCCAATGACTATAAAACATACCTATTTTATGAAAAATAATACTAGACTTTAGTAATGAATAGTTGCAATGTAATTAAAGCCATCAGAATGGATAGTATAATATTGTGCTCCTCATTTGTTGCATAATAACATCTTCCCCCCGCAAATTACTTTTTATTACTATTGTGCAATTTTTAGTTGCCAGTAGCTCTTTGTGTGTACCAAATTTTCATGACATCTTATGCCAGATATTCCAATATAGCAGGGAATCTATGCAAAGGTTTTATTTTCAGTGACAAAGAAACAGTAGCATTCCACACTGCAAGTTAGTAGATCATTTAAAAGGACACAGTGGGATTTAAAATCATCAGCAGCAAAAATAAAATCAAACATATGACAACATTTACAATAATCAGTAGTTAAATGGACACTGAAATATGGTGATTGTGTGTCAGTTTGTGTAATTTAACATGGAATACAGCAGTAAAGCTGGCAAAGGAAATGATAGTGGCATGCTGGAAAATCTATGAAAAAACAGAGATATTGTATCAAAAGCAAATAAAGCTTAATTGAGCTCTAAAGAAATAATTCAACTTTTGCAGTTTTCTTCCTTAATATCGTTACATTTGAAATACCTCAGAAATTATCTAAGTTGTTTTCAGAAACCAGTTAGCTAATGCAAGATTGTTCACATTTTCCTAAAGATTACTGGAAGAATAGCAATAATGTAACATTGACACAAGGTGGTTTATTAATATTCAACATTCAGGTGTCCATGGCAACCACAACATTAAATATTCTGAACAATTACTATTACCTACAAGGCTCATCAGGGAAAATGGTGACTTTTTCCAATATGGTAATGCATTCCTTATGTCTCCAAATAACACAACATGTGGAATTGCAGGTAGAGAAAAACCTTACAAAGTGAAAGCATTGTAATATATTCACATTTTAACATTACAGATTCAATATATACAGAGCGCTATATGGGTCTTCCTGTAGAAAATGATAATCTAAAATACTATGAGGTAAGAAAGTATTTTATTTCTTTTTTATATTATTAAAGCTTATTTTCCCCCTCCCAACTGCATCGTAAGGAATTATTAATACATTCCTTTTTTTTCAGAATAATTTGTGTGTGTTGAATCCAGTTCAAGCTGTATTCAGCTGTGTTTTCAAAAGTCCTGGCATTATGTCTTTAGGTTTAGAATGAATTATTTTTAATTGTTACCCCAGGTGGTGGTTGGTTTTTGTTTTGTGGGGGTTTTTTATGTCAGATTCAGTTTGGACATTTTGTGAACAGAGTTCACAAGCTATAAATTGGGGGTAATTATTTAAATTGCTAAAAAGTTAATTTGTTTAAAAATACATTGCTGGGCAAACCACATTGTATCTTTAAAACTATGCCAAAAGAAAGTCACTGCTTTGTTTCCTGTCCAGATTTGATGATAAATATAGACACTCCATGAATTTTTTCAGTTACAAGCTTCTTGAAGTTAATAAGAAGAGGGGGAAAGAGGGAGAAAACCTATTAGATATGGTGAAAGCTACAATAAATTTACAAGACTTGACAATGCTGCTCTAGTCACTATTCAGATAGGATCAAATTCTGAACTGGAAAATGTCAGGGACCTTGGCCACTACTCTTGTCACCTTAAAGTTACTGTAGTTGTGGTGTAGAATAACTATGGATTCTTCAGGATTGTGGGAAAACAGAGCTAGAACCAACATAATTATTGTAGATGACTGCACCAAATCCATGATTGTGTGGATTTCTGGAGAGGTAGGAATGTAACCAATCTGTCTGTGCTTGCAAGCTCTCTCTAGCTGCCTGAATAACAACTTGGTGGTATAAGGCAGAGCAACCCCAAGATTTCTCTAGTTTTTGCTGAGGAAGGGACCAGTCAATAATCATATTTAGAGTTGGGGGGCAAATAAAATGGCTATAAGACACTATACAGGCTCCTGGGACTCTTATTAATACAGACAGACTCAATGGCAGATGTAGAACCAGCATAGCTTGCAGGAATGGAAGCATGCTGGGCTGTTCCTAAGCTGTAGTTTCCAGTTCATGGGACACAGGGCAGCAATGCTGGGGCGCCTACAAGTACTAGAGACAAACATCAGGTTAGGAAAGATGTAAATACCCACCCTGTACATGTTTAGCTCGTGCAGGTCACAAGAATCATTTAGGAGAAGATGAGAAGGAGTCCACTATAGGTAGGGGAGGAAAGGAAGCTTGAGAAAAGTGTTTCTCTGATGTTATTTTGGGTTTGACTTTTAGTAAATTGGGACAGTTTTAAAATGACACTTGACTGCATGGTACAAATGGTAAGTGGTGCTTACTAGGAGACATGACAAATGTTATATTAAATATGTAGATGGACTGAAATCTCCTTTGTGGACCTATCACAGTCACGTAGGCTGTGGCAGCTGTTATGTTGTAAAGGTTTTAATAACTTGGAGATATGATGAACGCAGTGGTGGATGCTGGACTGTGCCAACCATACCTTACTTTTCATGGCTCATTTATTACAGCAGACATTTCAAGACCCATCATAGACTCTGACTGACAAATCTGCTTTTTTCCAGCTGTTAGGTCCATCTCCTTTCTTTCTGCTTTTTTCAAGAATGCTCCTTTAAGGAAGTGGGAGAAGTAGCAAATTTGCTAGGTAGCAATGTAAATAGAAGCCACTCTCTTGCTACAGAATGGAACGTTAACACACTGGGTGCACAAAGTCACTCTCCAGCTTCACGGCACAGATGGCACCAGAGGACTGTTTTATCCTTTCACGCCAGGAGTCGGATTTTCTTGGCGCAACATCCATTGCTGGCAATGACCGCGTTGAAACTGCCAGTACCAAAGAGCTAAAGGTTTAAAATGTGTTAGTCAGAGGACTAATTGGGAAGGATGGTGGCTCGATGAAAGAGGGGGGTGGGTAATCATACAGATCAGATTCTCTCACTAGTTTTCTTTACTGGTAGAAAAGTCTGACTACAGTCCTCCTTTCCTGCACACTCTTAGAACCCCTTCTCTTCACCTGCTAATGTTTTCCTAAGGGGTATTCATGGGGGACTAGTTTTCTTCCAAGAACCGAGTTTCTCACAACCTTGCTGAACCCACTCAGAATTTTTCCCCTCTTAACTTCTTCCTTCAAGGTTTTGCCACACAAAGACCTTTTTGTCCATGGAGAGCTGGTGAAGACTGCCTTCTGAGCTTAACAGCACAACACTGTTCTTAATTCAGTGAGAGTGACTCGATTCAAACTGAGCCCTAGTCTTCTACACAGTGCTGCAAAGTACTAGCCAGAGTAGGAGGGTCTGAACTCCTCTTGTAATACTCTACACTCATTGTTACCACCTTGGTCTCAGAAATGCTGATGGATCTGAATGCTTTTGAGATGTAAGTTTCCATTGATGTTGTGAAGAGGACCTGGGGAATGATTTGGTCATGCAGTCCTAGGCAGCTAATTAGGTGTGATTGGGTATTATTATTATTATTTTTATTTTTTAAGGCTACCTTGAAGTTTGAAAATAGGAGCTTGGAAAAAAACTTCAACTGAATGTTAATGAAATGTGAACATGTGTTGTCTTCACATAAATGAAAATAAAACCTGGCCCATTTTTGGTCCTGTAGAGATAGCCAGAGAGATTTTATATAATTAGGAGTTTTGTAAAGGTGGCAAACAACTACACATGAGGTTACAATACATCAGAGAGTAAGGGCCAGCCAAAGAAAGTACAGATCTTAGGCTGAGAGAATGGGAGGCCTGTCTGTCCTTGGAGGTTTCTGGGACTTGTATCAGAAGAAGAGATGACAAAGAGACCAGACCCTTAAAAGTCAGAGACAGCAGCCGCCCAGAGCACACAAAAGGGACTGTTCAACTTGTGAAAGAGAACACTCTTTTGCAGTTCACTCTGAATTTGATATGCTTTTGGCAAGTGTTTGAAACAGTCATAGATTTGGCAATCTTTTGCTAGCAGATTTGAAATGTTCAGTCCTTAAGAACTGCTGCATCATTAGGTTATGCAAAACAGGGTACAATTTTGTAAATATGCCATCTTGTACTGATCTGACATTTGTTCTATTATCCGAGAATATGCTAAAGGGAGAGAGACCTTCAGTTTCAGCCAAACCTTCACTTGTTTGTTGCGTGCTGATAAAATGTTGACTGCTGTGTGATCTTTAGCGAAGCCAGTTATGCTCAGTGTAGCCCAGAGCTGAACACTTGCACCGACAGGGGCGTTGGGAGAGGTGACTTGTACAATGACTAATAAGAACACACAATCATGCTCATATACTGGATTTATTTACAGCCAGATGTGTCCAACAGCCTGATCCAGTACATCAGTTGTTGCTTTTGGGTGCAACTGCCCACTCAACTTGTTACATTGAAATATCCTTTTTGGAAACCAGAGGCCAGGGCCTGTACTTTGTACACCTCTCACTGAGATGAGAGGGATTGCTTGGGTGAGAGCAAAGATAGAATATAGTTCAGAGCAATCACAAGTATCCATGTTAAAGTGGTAATCTATAGGGAATAAATTTGGTTCTTAATGTTTAGGAAATATATACAAGCAAATTTGCCTAATGTGAACATTAAGGTGGAGGAAGCAAAATTTAAAAAAAAAAAAAAAGCAGTGCTTTAGTTGGTCCCAGAGGCCTAGTTTCTCAGATGAATTTCATGCAGAAGTCCTTGCTTATACTTGACTAAATTAGTCTAAGGCCTGAAGGTCACAGAGTGGAGTTGACACTAGTGAACTATTGAAAACTACTGAACAAGTAATGCATCCCCACCCCCACCCCCACAATGTTCTCTTTCTCTTCAGCCACTGATAATATGAAGGTTGGTTTGCTGGAAAGACACTCCTAGTATGATTAAACAATCGGCTATAAGTAGTTCTCAGTGTGTGTGGAAACTGTTCCACCCAGTGAATGCCTCCTAATTGGTTTTGTCTGTGGATCATTACTTCTCATTTCTTTCTCCCAGAATGTTGCTGCATTGATATTTCTCTAGGCAGGATCACTTTGCCTTACTATGGCCTTTACAACTTTGATATTTGCTAGCTTGTTTCCATTGCATCTTCATGATACCAACTCTTGTTTCTGTCACTACCGTTTTCTGCTTTTCAGTGGGTTACTAGTTTCTAGACAATTAATTTGATGTTACTTATCCTTTTTTGTGGTTGCTCTTGTTTTGATAAATAAAGTTGTAAACAGCTATCAAGTTTCACTTAGCTTGGATTTTTAGTTTGTTTGCAATTTACAGCAGGCCCGATTCTTATTTAGAATAATGCTGATTTACACCGCTCTGATAGTGTAAGGGGAACTTTAAACATAGCTACATGCATAGAGTTGCCCAAGAACAGGAAACTTCAAAGCAAAACCCTGGAGGTAATTGTTTTGGGACAACTGTGTGCAGATAAGCAACTGTCCTGGGAACAAACTACTCTGCCACAGAAATAAATTACCATTTAATTCAACTGGGATATTCTTCCTGTGGCAGAGTAGTTTGTATTGGTATCAAGGTTCGCCCAAGCCGAAGAGCCCCGTGTGTTAGCATGGTTAAGGTATACCTGTTCCTATAGCCAGTGGCAAACATGGGAGTGACGTACGTGGTCCAGCTAACTGCAGTTGAGGTGGATTGGGAGTATTTTTCAATATGAATCCATACTGGGACTCAAACTCCACCTTTTGGAACAAAATGCATTAGTTGCTCTGTAATCAACTCTGCATTATCATGTAGTCAGAATGGTGAGAAATTCAAAAGAGGGGGAAGCATTTTGTCCAGGTTCATGTGTCTGTAGTTTCAGTATTTACACCTGTTGTGTGGAAGCAGGGAATGTAGGGACTTTGGATACAGCATCCTAGATAGGTGACAATACATCTTCCTGCCTTGTTTCCGCACAGTGGCAGTGGTGCCTGACCCCCCCACCATGCTGCTCTGCCGGACTCTGGCACGGGACTTTTGACTAACTGGCCAGGATTAGCCTACAGAGTCTGGGACTGTCCTGGGCAAATTGGGACGTATGGTCACCGTAGCCAAGAGCAACCTCCTGCAAATTTCATCTCTGCACCAAGTTCATTTGAAAGGAACACCTGGGAGGTCGTTCCCTACAGTTATTTCTCAGCTCTGGAACTACCTCCCTTTTGTAGTCCATCAGATTCCTAGTGCAGGTGTCTTCTTGTAGTGGTGTAAGACCTTTGTTTGGGCAGGCCTGTAGCAGGTGGGGTTAAATTTGGGGTATTGTCTGAGTTTTTTCTATTGCATATTATATTATTTTAATAATGTTTTCTATCTTTATAATTTATTGAGATGTATTGCAAGTCATCCTGAGCCTCTTGGGGAGGGTGGCATATAAATCCAATAAATAAGTCAAACATGTAAATGAGAAGTATAATATATCTTCTCTCACTTAATAGTGTGCCACATTTGACTTAAGTACTAAAGAATGTAAAACTGGTTTTCAACCTGTGATCTGTGGACCCTTGTGGGGTCCACAGACTATGTCTAAGGGGTCTGTGAAAGATGACTGTGATCAATCAAAAGTATGTGAATACCCACACTTAAAATCCAAAGGAATCTTCATCTCCACTCGAAATTTTTTAGGGGTCCACAAATGAAAGAAGATGGAAAACCACTGATGTAAACAATGAAGATTCAGATGTAAGGAATATAAACCTAATGTTATACAAGAAATCAAATTTGACACCCTACTAAGGAAGAATTAACTCTGGATTCTTTTTTGTTTACATTCATCTTTGTATACTATATGGTAGTTTAATACAGATGAAACCTTGTCATATAATTACATCACTGCATATCTGGAGGCAAATCAAAAAAAGTTTACAAAGGGATGAGAGACTGATAAAGAAGCTGTGAGTACTGCTAATGGAGGGATATTAGTGTTTAACCTATGCTTTATCTCAGTATGTTGGATTTCTCACCAGGTCTACTCCTTGGTAGTCTCTGTGCATCCTGGAGCATTATCGTATTTTCTTTGCTTGTTCAAAGAAATTTTCTTCTCTCCAGTCTGAATTGCCTCTTTGCAGCACTTAGTTGCAGTTGCAAGTCTCAGCAGTTATTCTATTCGTAGTTAGCACACTGTCACCATGTTTTAAATTTGTCGTGATTAATTTTAGTCCTGCTTTTCACATGTCGATATTATTCAAATTGCCAAAGTACAGATTACCTTCAGTTTATTTTGGTTCAATATTATTTTCTTGGCTTTTGTTTTTGGATTGTGGGGGGAGGTCTTTGTTGTTGTTTTTATTCTGGTTTCTTGTACTTTGTAATGTCCCAGTTTTTAAATGTCTTATTCTGTCATTTTTGCTTGGAAATGATAAGGATGCTTCACATGGATGTAACCACAATAAATTGTAGTGTTCAGCTGAACAAAGTGTTGCATGCAGTATCTTTGAGATACAGTAGTATATACTACTATAGGATACAGAGTTGCCATGGTAATACATGTTTTAATGTTTGCTGGATAGCAATGAATAGCCATGGCAAGCCTAACTGCAAGCAGTCCACATGGCAGCAATGCAGTAGATGGGTATCTCCCTCACTTAACTCTGCTGCATGGGACTACTCAAGTTACTTTGCAGCCATACCCAACATACAAAATCCAGACAAGAACAGAGCAGCTTGAACTAACGTACAGTGTCCTTGTATATGAATGTTACTTTGTTTATTTGTATCCAAAGGACCCCTGATTTTTGTTAACTGGAATGAAAGTGAGTTGGTAGCAAACCATTTATTAAATAATGGCACTTTTTTAAATTTCAGAATTCAACAGTAATGGCCAGAGCTGAAAATTTTAAGCAAGTTGAGTATCTCCTTATTCATGGAACAGCAGATGGTGAGTTGCAGTTAATTAGACATTTTAGTATTACAGACAGGTTTGCAATTCTACTACTGACAAAACAAAACCATGAAGGGGCAAGGCTGTTACATTTGCGTCAATAAAATAATGTGGCTTTCTACAACTAATTTGTCTTCTAGTAAGCAGGGGAGTCTTGGATCTTAAACAATCCTGTTTGTGTTCTTCTCATTGCTATGTTTTTCCCCAGAGTGGTGCAAAAGCAGTTTCTGCTTTTACCTTTCCTTTCCCTTTTTTTTTCTCATTTCCAGATAACGTTCATTTTCAGCAAGCAGCACAGATCTCCAAAGCTCTTGTTGATGCTGAGGTGGATTTCCAGGCAATGGTATGGCTCAGTGCTTATAACAAATGTTGTCAGGGTTACAGTCTCCCTTCATATCTGCCTGGGAGAGCTGTTGTTCTTACTTCTATCATCACAGAAAATGTGTGTGTGTTATAGAGAGACATCAGTAGCAACTTACCCATTAAGCTTGTGTTGATTTGTACTTAAACAAAGACTAAAATGCCATGTTTTGCCTCTGGCGACTGAAGCTGGCCCCCAGAAATGGCACACTGTTTCTGTAGCAGACAGCTGAGGTCACCATATACTTTTTTTTTAGTAACAGACTCGATAATTTGTGCATAAAAAAAATATTTTCAAATGCAACTTTTTTAAATGTTCACTGACTTTTCCTTCCTTTTCTTTCTCTATCTAAATGAGAACCCAGTGTGTGCATGTGAAACTCCAATTTTCACTTAGACTCTGATAACATCTCATTCTTAAGCCTGTAGTGAAAATTTGATTTTGTGGACATTAGAGTCTTTTTTTTTCGTTTGGGATAACCTAGCTGAGCAACACCAAGATTAGGTGACAGCTCTTCACATTCACCAACTACTTCCTTCTGCTGATACTGCATATGGCAGCCTCAGGTTCTCGCTCTCTTATTCTGTCCTAGCAGTTGGTAAATGATGTTTAAGGAGACAGGTGGAAGGAGAATTGAAGCCCACGCTGTTGTTGTCAGTTACAGAAGTATCTTCTCGTTCACTTCTCGTTCACAGACACACAGTGGAGGCTTGACAGGTTGAACAGAATTTGAGGGGAAAATCCAGTTCTGAAGTCTTCCAGGAAAGGAAGAAGGGTTTTTGTGAGGCTGTTGGAGTCATCTAGGCTCCACAGAGAGGTTTTACAAAAAGCAATGCTATCAAAATTGATACTAAAACTTGGGAAGTGTCCCCTTTAACTCAGAGTTAAAGCTGATAGGCTTCATGGCTGATCGACAACCCACCCAGAGCAAGGAAACAGGCAGTGAAATATCTTCATTCCCTCTTCCTTACACTCCTTAAGTCCCTTAGTAACCCAGACTGCCCCCATCATGTCCCCAGCCTCATTCTGAACCACCCCTGGTCAGCCTTAAACCATAATAATGTTTACTGGTTGCATATTTTGAATTGTTATTTATATTAAGTATTTCTATAGAATCTATCAATTACACTTCTTTACTATGGAGCAAGCTAAAATATTATTTGTATTTTCTTTTCCACAGTGGTATACGGACAAAGACCATGGCATTGATGGTCAGGCACACAAACACATCTACACCCATATGAGCTATTTCATAAAGCAGTGTTTCTCATTGTCTTAGCACCATCGTGACATTTCACATTATATCAGGATTGATCAAGTTGTTAATAGCAATTTGTCCAGCTGATTCTCCTTCCATAAACTTGCACTGAGCCACTATAACTTTATGAACGTCTGAATGAGGAAATTAAAGGTTTGTTAAATCCTTGTAGCCTGTCTACACACAATGAAATGTTAATTTTATGACAACCTCTGTTGCCAAGCAACCATTGCATTTTTTTTTTTATTGAAATGTGTTTAAATCAGGTTTTTATCTGCACCAAAATGTTTACATGTCCTTTGCCAATTTTTTTTTTAAGTGTGGTACTTGAATTGATACCTTGTCATACTTACCGCTTTCAGTCTGAGATGGAAAGATGCATGGTCCCTTTCACTGATTGGTGATACTGATTTTGACCATGGATATGTTTTTAAATAGAGTAACTAACTGAATAGGGTCTGGGAAGCTCAGAAGACTAAGGAATACATTTTCTGAAATCTGATTGCTTTTACAAAGAACCTGGATTAAATTTTCAATAAAACCTTTTTGCAGAAATTATCTTATGTTTGACCATCTCTGCTAAAACCATTCATAGGGATGTAGTAATGTTGGTATTCCATTCATTGCAGAGAATCCTGTTGGGTTTTTTTTCCAGACCAATCCATTCTATGAGTTGATATGACATAAATACTGTAATACAGATACATGTATGTGTGTGACTATGCTCAAATATCTTGTGAGACTTTAACCAAAATTATGGAAATTAACTTTTAGCAAAGGTATTGAGTAATACCCGCCAGAACACGGGGACTGAATTTTGCTAACACCTAAAGGCAAGCGATACTATCGAATTTACTAGTTACTTAATAAAACAGAGCCTTGTTGACTTTAATAGAATCTGCTTTAGTAAAATCTGAGCAAGGATCTGTGGTCCTTTCATTAATTAAGGACTAAGCTAGCTGCTCTTGTTCTGCAGTAAATGACACATACGTAGGTAGTTACTGTACAACTATTGGGCAGTAAAACCCTTGTGTCCTTTACCAATTATAAATTATTAGATTGTTTTTGGCCTTGGTTTCCTCCCTTTAGGACAGCTATATCTCCTGCGGTGTCACAGAGCACGTGATATACTGCCAGTACTTAAAAAGAAATTTGAGAATGCAGGCTGACCATCTAGCAATCATTGTGAGCAAATATGAATATGCCATTTATTAATTTTCTGTAACCGAGCTGTAAATTTATCTCAGATTTATTAGTAGAGGTTCACTTGGGAATCTCCACATTGCTAAAAACCACTTTAGCTCTAAACTGTTTGTTTCCTTAATTTCCCAGAGTGCTTTTTTTTTGTAAACATAAGTACAAAAGGAAGCATTTCTTTTAAAGGCAGCACAGCAACATTTGGGGTACCAAAGACTGTCCTATATGATATGCATAGTCATCTTCCTATCTATCTAAAATAACAAAAAAAAATCATGTTTAGTTATATAATATTCTAGTGAAATATTACCTCCTTTTATAACAGCATTAGCCTTTAGTAGTATATCATGTTGTACATTGGTTCTGTACTATATTTAGCACATTGACAACTAACACACTCTCATTATGGACCTACTGTGTCCATAGAGAGTTTTTTGTGACAGTGTGAATGCAGAAGTAGCAGTGTAGTCAGATGATAAATGTTTGCCTGCTTTAACTTTCTTCTTGTACATGTCCATGAATGAAGACAAAAGATCAAATTCTGGATAAAACAAAATAAGGATAAAACTTTCACAAACACTTTGAAAATTGTATAAGCAACTCAGCCTTGTCTCAAAATACCCATTCTGTGAAACACGGAGAAGGTTGCATGCATTATAGTGCTGGCTTTAGGTTCAAGTTTTTGTTCAAGATTAAATTTTCCTAACATACCATTGAGAACTTTGGTAAAATGTGCTATAGAAACACAAAGTATCTATTTTATTTTTTTCCTAAGAGGTGCATAATACCAACCAAGCTACCAATAATACAGCATTAGAAAATAGACTTTTTTTTACTACCCCCTCTGCTACCCTCAAAACCTTGACTTAACACAAATGAGAATAAGATAAGTAAGAACATAAGAACTGCCATACTGGTCCATCTAGTCCAGTATCCTGTCTTTGACAATGGCAGGAATGGATGTTTTAGAGCAGTGGCCAACATTTTTGGCAGATGTGCCACAAATTAGCCCCACATCCTTCCCAATTGCCACTCCAATCCCCTTACCCTCCCAGATTTGCTGCTCTGCTTTCTGCTCCTGGTCCTGTACTCCCTGCCCAATTTGTTACTTTGCTTTCTGCTTCTTTCCATACCTGCCACTGTGCTGCCTGTCCCTCCTCCATCTGCTGCGTGCCACATGCAAAGACTGCCCATGCCACTTGTGGCAAACCTGCTTTACAGGGCAAGCATTAAACCAGGTATATCTAGGTGATCTATACCTTCCCTGGCATCCACCCTTACTGGTTTTGAGATGCCAGAGGATACTAAGACAGTCAACCTATAGAAGTGATAGCAGAATCCAGGATTTTTCGTCCTTAATGGATGGATCAGTGCAGTAAGTATTTTTTTTAAGTGACAAGTAATAAGTCAACTGTGGAACTCTATCATGTATAGAACAAATTTCTCTCACATAATAAATATTAGAGCTCCATTAGGAATCTCTTGGTATTTCTTGATCAATGATATCAAAAGAAGTTTGTCTTTTTAAAAAGGAAACTTTAGCAACTTATATTGTGGTTTACATTCCTTTCATAGGAACAACATGCAGTATCCTCCACATTTGGCCTTAACTATTTTAGTATTTGATGAAAAAGTTCTATGAGCTCTAGATATGCCGTTCTATTTTGTTTTCTTTTATCTGTGAAGCAGAACAAAGCATTATGTTAATTATCTTAAATTGTACTTGCTTTATCTGACAAGTTACTAATAGGAGTTAGCTGAAAACGTATTTGAAGTGTAAAGCTGCAGTATTAATGGTATAAAAAAGTTCTTATATTTTTATATCCTGTAGGCATATATTGCTCTGCATTCTCCTCCTGTACTATATACTTAGTGCCAGTCTGTTGCAAAGAACTCAGAAAGACCACAACAAGCCAGAATGGTAAGACAGGCGAGCATGGAGATGCAGCATGGGGAGTGGGTTTCATCTTAGAGCAGAGTGAATCCCGAGGTGTGGCTTAGCTAAAGTGGAGGCACCAGAAATGATTTGGATGCTACATGGAACTCACGCCAAGCATCACTCTGGATAAGGCATTCCACCTGCCCCTATGGAGCAAGGTCAGAGCCTCCAGACTCCAAGCCTGCTATCACCAATAGGTTTAGCATTAGCATCACTGCCTGAGCCAGTCTTGGCAATGTTATAAAAAGGAAGAATTCAACCTACTGAATAAAGGAAAGTACTTACTAAGAGCTGCAGACCTAATTATGTGTCTAATTTTATCTGCAGTCAGTCACTGTACACTGGGTCTTTGCCAGCAGAGACTGGAGCACCACAGAAGCAGCCTACAGTAAAGCTTGGCCAGTGACCATAATACAAATAAGCTGTGTGCGTGAGAGTACATACAACAGAATCTGAACAGAATGCAGTGCTAAGCTGGTTTTCAAGTCTGTAGTATTCACTAAACAGCATGGAAGGGGAGGATGGAAAGAGCAGTTGCTCCACAGGACTACAGTGCTCCTTCCTGTACCTCAGTGAGGCACATAGCAGAGACTAGGAGCAGACTAAGTTTGTTAAATACCCTACTGTATGTATCCAGCAGAGGACATGGGAATTAATATATATCAGGCCTATCTGTGGCATAGATTATCTCACTGAAGAGCAAGTCAGGGGAGTGGGAACAAGACTGATTGTGAAGAACAACCTGATTCCCGGTTTGCTTCTGGGACAAAACAATTATGAAGCCCTGACACCTCCCCCACCAGGATAAAAAACAAGTTTAACACTTAGACGCAAACTAATCCCAACGAGGAACACAAAGCACAGCAAATGACTTGACCTAGCCAGCACACCCAGAGTGTCGATATTGTCATGGAATTCTACCTGGACATAGAGGTCCTCCTGCACAGAACAGCTGGCAGAATCGGGACATAAACTTGTCAAATTATTCATTACAAATGTTCACTAACCTCAAATCTTCAGACTTTGAGAACAAGTGAAACATTTCCAACTATCTACCTGATGTACTCTTTCAAACATATAACTCAAAGCCGACACTGTTCTGTAGGATGTGAATACACATGCTACAGACACTTGATCCATGTCTTGTAAAAATGAAAAATGAAGATTAGTTAGGATAAATATTTATTTCCACATAACATCTCTTATTTGTGAAAAACACAATAGTCTATTCACATGTTCACATTACTTAAACTTTTATAATAAATTACATCCATGAAATTTGGTAATTTTGACCAGGAATACGAAATTAGAAGTAAATATATAACACTACATTTGCATTATATTGTGTGTGGTTTCAAAATGTTGAGATTAACATTGAAGTAGCTTTAAAATCCACACAAGAACAGAATGACTGTAAAAAAATATTCAAATACTGAACAGAAGTACAGAATGCCATTGAATACACTGATTTCTTAATATCCTAAGAATTGGTCATGTGAAACTTCAAATACATTTTGATCATCTGTAACAGAAAGTCAGCAACATATTAAAACACCAGCAGGCTGCTTCCAGGGACAAACTGGTATTATACTTCTATTCTAATTTTAAAACAATTGGAATGTTACAATGTATCAAGTACACAAAACCAAAGCATTTATACCTTAATGCATCTGTATTTATTCATAAATTTATAAATACAAACAATAGTTTTAGTAAATGTAGATCCTTCTTTGCATCCATTAAATATAATTTCCATAAAAATGACCTTTAAAGGGCTTTAATAATACTCAGTAGAGCTTAAAACAGTGAGCCTATTTATTTGCAACAGAATGCAGTTACAGTCTTTTCTGCAGTGGCTGAATTAGTAAAAACAGAGTTAAAGGAATGTTTTAATGTGTTGACCACATTGGCTATGAAAAAATCATTCCTGTCAGCTCCATGAAGAGATTATTAGTATAATGGAAAAACTAAGAAATCTTAAAGCCCTGTAAATTAATTACTGCAGAGACTGCAAGACTGTTGCCTCATTCCTAGGACTTAGAATTCCTTAATCATTTTAAAATTTGCTTTAAAAAAATAAAAAAGTAAAAATAGTGACTTCTGAATAATGCTTTGAAAGCCTGATCTTGCAGTCCTTGTTTACACAGAAATTTGGCTTGAGTAAGAATCGGGTCCATAACAAAATCTGTTTGGTATGTACTGGAAAGACTTACTTGTAATGGCTTTAAGCCATGTCTTAATTTGCAATGTTGAGCTTTATTTTTAATCAACATGCATTTAATGGAAGAGTGAAAACTGCCTGTAACAAAAATAACAGGAGGACACCTCTAAGTCTCTAATACATTATTCATCTCTAGAGTAGAGAAATACATGATTGCTAGTAGAAGAATAAATATGCAATTTAATGTGTAATTTTGTGGGTGGTATATTAGGTTGTAAACTAGAAATAACTGATCACCATTGGAAGGGTCAAAAACTGCATATTTCTGGTAAAGCTTTATATCTACAAAACTCCCACTAATATAAAATAATGGGTTCATTAACATTATACTGCAGGTTTGACCTACCACAGCAACATTTAATACAGTACATTATTGGATATTGTAATCACAGCTTGCATTTTTAGCAAATACTGTATGAATATTTCACATCAACGGATGTGATTTTTCAAACAAGGTGCAAGAACATATATATAGGATATGACTTTGTGGTTCCACTTATGTAAAAAATTGAATATTAAATATTCAGTATTAAATCAAGGAAAACTGCACAAATATAGGATGTGATCCTGCAATCCTCATTCACATGAGTAATCCTTGATTTCACTGGGACAACTCCCATGGGTGAGGAATATCCTAATTCATGGTTGCAGGGTCAGGCCAATCATTATTTTAAAAATATCTTTACAATTGGTTCTTACTTGTTAATTTGGGTCTCCTTAAATCATTAGAGCTAAGTTGTAAAAATAAAAAAAGAATTGAGTCTCTGTTTCAAGTTAGTCTTGAATGAAATTATGATATTCAGGATTTGCACACAGGTAAAGTAGTAAAATACAGTACAAGCCTACTAGCAATTAAATAAAATTTGCAAGAAACTTTGCTTACTAAATTGATGGCATGAAATCCATACTGATTAAATGGCCAATACCCAGCAAGTAAAGTGAAGATTTTTGCAATGGCTACAGTAGATTTTTTTTACACAGATATTTGACTGTGTAGACATTTAGACAACCGTGAAATGAAACAAATATTGCACTACTCACATTACCTGTGCTAGTCTGGGATGAAAGACAAAATTTACAATGCATGGTCAAATCAGTTATATTAATGATTGTGGCACTCCTTTCATTCATTTTGTAAAAATAAATTGAAGAACAAGTCATAGACAAGTCTCCCGGTCAACACCTTTCCCTGAGTCAGCTTTCTTCTCTCTTCTGATTTCAGCACTAAAAGGAAAATACAGAGTACCTATTAAAATAGTGCTATTATGCTTGCTAGTGTTTTAGCTGAAAAAAAACAGCACTGATTCTGTTTGTATTTACTTTTCATGCTGTATGGCACAAAGTGGGAAGCAAGAGTGAAAATTGCTGTGTTGAATGACACAGAAGACATCACCAGCATTTTAGTAAATAAGAGAATAAACTGAAAATGCACAGACATACACATCAGCAAGCATGCAAGCAAAGATTGATCCAAGTTTGTTGGCAAATAGAACTGTTAATGTTTATTTAAAACAATGATAATGGTGCAGTTTTGAGACAATACCAGCATTTTGTAAAATGGCACAAACAAGAAGTCACAGTAATTCTTTGCTACAAAGGGCAGTCTCCTTCATCAATCTACATTTATGAGAAATCCTACCTGATGAGAAGGTGTGCTGTGGAAGCCAATTTATAATTATTCCATGCATAGGGACCTACTGAAATTGCGAGTTCATGAAATTAATGAAATCCAGCATTGCCTGCAAAAGCAGCCAATGCCTGTGTGGGCCACCTCAGTCAATCAAAGGTGTTGGGGGCAGGCCACCATTTTCTACTTGTGAAATAGCTGCCAAACTCCACATTCTGCCTGAAAAATTGGGGGCAGCTCCCTCAAATTTGATAGGTCCCTATCCATGCATACCCCTCAGTCTTCCTTTCTTCAAGAAAAAACCCAGTTTCAAGACTTTTTTTTTTTTTTTTATTTCATTTCAAGTCTCTGATTAAGCATATACTTGAAAAGATTTTAAACGGTATATCCCAGCCATGCACAAGTTGGATTTTGGCAAAACAGTAACAAGAACAACCTTTCACAGCTTGGACTCAAATTCTGGCATTATTTTACTAGAAAATAGAGATGATTTGCCTTGAGAAAGCAGTATACAATATTTGGAAGCTTATATTCTTCTCTCTGCCGAGAGTCCTGTTTTTATGAACACTTGCACCAAAAAAAGTCACATTATATACAAAGAGAATTGCTGTGGACCTTAGTTGCATTAGCAAAAACTTGAAGCTGTTTCCGAAGTGCAGGTGATTCAAATACACCTTCAACCTGGCCTGGCAACCAACTTCATGGAATATTTCTGAAATACCAACCTGCAAAGTATATGTAATGTACTGAGCTCCATGGGAACAATCCCCTAACAGAATGAAACAGGCTAAGTTTAAAAATACAAAAAGGTGAGACTAATTTTTCAAAGGAACCTCCAAAATTGTTTCTCTAAAATTTGAGGGCATAACCATTTGCCCACAATTGCATAGATTTCCTTATACAAACAGCTCTTTAAGGATAAAGTTAATGAATTCCTGACAGTATATATCCCTATAGCTATGGCAGCTACAAGGAGTGCTTCTGGAAACATCGAGAGGGTACTGATTTCAGCTAGGAATTGGTCACCCCGTCTAGAATAGGGCGTTACCTGCCTGCCTCATTACCTCACAGTAATGTCTACATGGGGAAATAAGTGCATGATAAGTGAGGGTATGCATGTATACCGACTACCTGCTTTTCACTAACTTCTATGTGAATGCTTAGGGCTAACTCCTGTTTCACCCACTAGGCATTTAAAGCATAGCTGCTGGCAAGGTCCTAGTATACACTAGCAGAATCAGGGAGGCATCCTACATTATCCGTATAAGTAAATATTTCTCCAGTACTTCCAGTGGATCACAAGTATACAGGCTTTCACCCCTTCAGATGACTATTTTGCCCATGCATTTCAGTGGACAACACTTAAGGTGGAGTTATATGTTACACTTTGCCCATACAAAATTGTGGAATGTTAAACGGTATTAAATGTTGGAATGTGCTGTGAGCAGTCGCGTGTTAAGAGTTAATATTGGTGCTTGCCTGCATAGCTCTGTCTTTCCACTAGAGGGCTGGCGAGCAGGGGCATGGCCAGGAGCTAGGGTACCTGGGCTCAACCCCTGCTCTAGTTTGGGGGCAGAGGGGAGCTGAGAGTGGTGCATCCTGGGTTGTTGGAGGACTGCAAATTGCTTGTTTTAGCTCTGGAGCAGGCTGAAGTTACCCTAAAACAAGCTAAGTAGCAGAGACCAGCATTAACCCTTGCCTGAAGCGACGTAACTTTCAGATGCTCAGAGGTCACTTACTTAGCACAAGTCAGCGAGCTTTAATGTGCAGGCACTCACATTTTAAGAGCCCTTAGTTAAATACCCAGCAAGTAAAGTGAAGATTTTTGCAATGGCCACAGTAGATTTTTTTCACAGATATTTGACTGTGCAGATGTTTAGACAACCGTGAAATGAAACAGATATTACACTACTTATGTTACCTGTGCTAGTCTGGGATGAAAGACAAAATTTACAACGCATGGTCAAATCAGTTATATTAATGATTGTGGCACTCCTTTCATTCATTTTGTAAAAATAAATTGAAATGGCCAAGAACAACATCCCCCAGGTCATAATTGCAGCCTGTGTGCTGCACAATATCAGGGACTCTTTTCAATCATTTTGTAAAAATAAATCTGGTTTTCAACCTTTTTTCATTTGCAGACCCCCTAAAAAATTTTGAATGGAGGTGCAGACCCCTTTGAATTTTAAGTGTGGGCATTCACATACTTTTTATTGATCATAGTCATCTTTCATGGACCCCTTAGACATAGCCTGTAGACAGCTGGCCCCGTAGACAGAGCCGTTAAACAACCCCCCCCCCCCCCAGGGGTTTGCAGACCAGAGGTCGAAAACCACTGATATATGTGTAATATGTAACTTTACCCTTAGATGCCTCCAGAACTAGATCATCATGCCTGAGGTTTGTGGCTTCCCAATTGCTCCAACGGGAAATTTTATCTCATGTCAAGATTCTGCGTGCTCAGATTCCAACTTCCTATTGACTGCCTAAGGCATATGCATCTTATTGGGGGGAGGGGAGTTGTTTTTGGTTTTTTGTCCTGGCAGCTAGACATCTACATGGCAGCAAAATGATCCTCCTCCATAAGTGGCTAGAGCACTTGCTCAGGATTTATGTTTTATGTCCTCAGTCAATAGTAGAGGGCAGAAATAAGGAGCCCTCCTTTCCAAGACTGTCCCCCTCTCACTTAACCACACTCCCTCTGGCTTACCCTCCTTGTGGCCCTACCTATCTTTACCCCTTCAACAGGAGCAACAGAGGATGCCCTTGGTAATGCTTACCCCAAGGCCTCCCACCACCACCACCACAAAAAAGGGTGGGGCAGAACACACACTCTCAAGCTTCAGGCACAATTATACTGGTCACCTGGGGAGTTACTGCAGAATAGCCAGTATGTTGTCAATTCACACTTTAGCTGACTTGGCGTGTCTACACGTACATTTAGCCATGACTAGATTTACTGCGCAGTAAGCAATTTTGGCTAGGTGTCTATATAGAATCATAGAAGTAGGGTCGGAAGAGACCTTGTAGATCTTCAAGTCCGACCCCCTGCCTGGGCAGGAGAGAAACTGGGCTCAAGTGACCCCAGCCAGGTAGGCATCGAGCCGCTTCTTAAAGACCCCCAGAGTAGGAGCCAGCACCACTTCCCTTGGAAGTTGGTTCTAGATCCTAGCCGCCCTAACTGTGAAGTAGTTCTTACGGATGTCTAATCTACATGTGCAGGGACCTGGCAGAAAATCTGCTGCCAGGTCCCTTCAGCCTTGCCATGTGCCCCTGTGGCCACCGGAGGGAGCGTTGGGCTCCAGCCCCAGCTGCTGGCACCTGGCAGCCATCTCTAAAACCCAGCCCCGCTCTGTGCTCTCTGGGCAGCCAGTTTGTGTGCACAGAGGAACAGTGTGCCATGCACAGAAGAAGCACATGGCAGCTGTATTTGCGCCCCCTCTGCTTGCCTGCACTACAGCTGTCCCAACCCCTGGCTCTGGTAGTGAGGAACAGGGTCCTCTGATCCTGCTAGCCACTTGAGTTGCCCTGCTGGCCCACCGTGCCAACTGTTGCCTGGCCTATGGCCATTTCACCCCAGCCAGCTCCCCCACATGCAGCAACACCTGCCCACCTGCCGCATGCCCCCCCAGAGTCCCCACTGCTGTGCAGCTGCTGCCAGCCGCAATGCTGATGAGAGGCTCCAGGAGGCCACTGCCAGAGCTACCATCACCCTCCTGGGCCTCCAGCCCCACTGCTTCTGGGCCCGCCATGCCAGCCAGCACTGGTGGCAGCACCTGGGGCAGCAGAACTGGGATCATGAACAGTGGATCAATGGCTTTTGGATGACCCAGGCCACCTTCACAGACCTGCTTCACTAGCTCTGGCACTGCCTGGAGTGCCAGGATACTAGAATGTGCCTGGCACTCTCCACTGACATCCACCTGGCCCTGGCACTGCTCAAGCTGGCCACAACTGCCAGCCAGCAGTAGGTGGGGCAGTTGTTTTGCACAGGCAAGGCCATCACTGAGAAGGCTGTCCTGGAGGTGTGCGGTGCCATTCAAGATGTACTGGCAGACACTGTCTTCCATGTCTATGAGCCCCAAGAAGTAGTGGCAGGGTTACCCCAGTGTATTGGGGCCCTAGATGGTACCCACGTCCCAGTGACCTGCCTGCCCCATGGAGACCACCCCTATTATAGCTGCAGGGGATTCTACTCTGTGGTCCTGCAAGCCATTGTAGACCACTAAAGAATGTTCACATATCAGTGCCAGCTGAGCAGGCAGTACATATGACACCCACATGCTCCAAAACTCCAGATGGCCATGCTGATGGAGAGCAGACACTTCACACCAGAGTGGCAGACCTGCAGCTGGGCGCCATCGTCCCAACCGTGCTCACTGGAGACTCTGCCTACCCGCTCCTTCCCTAGCTGATGAGGTCCTACAGTGGCAACCTAGATCCCCAGCAGGCCCACTTTAATTGGTGCCTGAGCCAAACCCATGCCCTGGTCCACTGTGCCTTTGGCCACCTTAATTGGCTGCTGGCACTCCATCACTGCCTGCCTCGAAATGGCCAAGAACAACCTACCCCAGGTCATCGTTGCCTGTGTACT